AGGGTCTCCCAAGGATAAAATCTACCCCGAGAGAAGTAGGGTCAGTCCCGGTGAGCCAAGCCCTGCAACAAGGTCTGTGGCCGGAAGACAGGGCGGTCCTAGTGAGAGCTGGGGGCTGTCGGTAGAAACCACCAGCAACCCAGACCACTTGGCCACATCCGCGTGCTCAGATGGGGCAGCGCTTGGTGTGTGAACCGCTAGGAGTTCTAACATCTCAGTGTCCAAGCAACCCTACTCTGGATCCCCTAAGGTGGTGGTGTCCTACCCACTTCTCAGTGGAGTTGGGGGTCCCTCCTCTTGGGAGCAGGGGTGGAGGCATGTCAAGCTTGCAGGTAGTGGCTGGAGAGAAGTTACAGGAAAAACAGGAGGCGAGTGAAGGCAGGAACCTGGGCTGTGGCACGAGGATTGGGTTGGAACGGCTCCCGAGTGCCTAACCACCATTTCCTCCCTGTACTTCGAGATCAGGGATGGGCTCTGAACTGGGGGCAGAGGGAATGTGTGCTTCTAAAGTTCCTTGGATGTGGCTTCTGAGCTAATCAAGACTGGGTGGATATTCAACATCCAACAAAAATTTTCTGTGTACCTGTTATGGACCAGACACGGTTTCAGCACCAGGGACACGGCTCTCTGGGTCTGACCCGGAGACCGGGTCTCTGCCCACATGGAGCTCCCTGTTCTGGTGGGAGAGACACTCAACAATGCCCAGGATCCAATAAAAAAATTATTAGACACACAAAGCAAAGCAACGCATAACGTGTCAGGTGGTGATAGGTAATATGGAGCAGAGAAAGGCAGGGGAAAGGGTATAGTAGGTGCCAGCTTGGGGCTCTATAACAAGTGAGACTTGTGGCCGTCTCGGGCAGGTGGCTCCAGGCAGAGCTGGGCCTGTTTGGGGAACAGCAAGTAAGGCAGGGGGCTGGACAGAGTGAGGGGGGCAGTGAAGGAGGTGAGGGAGGGAGGCAGTAGGGAGCCACGAAGGGATTCACAGGCCCTAGTAAACGGATTGCTGATCTGTTTCTGCGTCATAAGCAACCCCAACTTAATGCAACAGAACAAAACTGTATTCATTCTCAGGAGCCCAGACGTTGCCCGTCTGGGTGATTCTTCTGCTGGTCTTATGTGGGATCATTCAGGCAACCGCTGTCATCTTGCGGCTCGACTGGAGCCGGAGTTCCCATGTGGTCTCACTTCTGTGTCTGGTAATTGGTCCCGGCTGGAGGAAGGATTTGGGTTTTCGTGCCGAGCGAGATAGGAGACGTGGTGGAAACAGGAAGGATGGGAAACTATGCGACATGTGTTAACTGAGAGGAGAAATGGCCAAAAATGTTCCAAATTGGATAAAACCCCACAGATTCAAGCCCAATGAACCTCAATAGAATAAGCATAAGAAAACAATAACAAAGCACGTCATAATCAGGTTGCTGAAGACCAGCAATAAAGAGATAGTCTTAAAAGCAGGCAGAGAAGGGGTGCCTGGGTGGCTCAGTCACTCGAGCCACCGACTCTCCATTTCAGCTCAGGTCGTGATCTTATGGTTCATGAGTTGGAGCCCTGAGTCGGGCTCTGCACTGACAGTGGGGAACCTGCTTGGGATTCTCTGTTTCCCTCTCTCTCTGCCCCTCCCCGACTCGCACGCTGTCTCTCAAAAATAAATAAACATTTTTAAAAAACTTAAAAAAGCAGGCAGGAAAAACAGACATTATACGTACAAGGACAAAAACGATGTTTGTAAAAAAATTTTTTTTTAATGTTTATTTCTGAGAGAGAGAGACGGAGCATAAGTGGGGGAGGAGCAGAGAGAGGGGGAGACACAGAATCCGAAACAGGCTCCAGGCTCCGAGCCGTCAGCACAGAACCCGACGCGGGGCTCGAACCCAC